GACATTGCTGTGACCCAAATAGTAACTGAAGGGCATAACTTTGAGGACATCTTCAAAATTGTTTGTGATGCTAACTGAGAATGCTTGTGCACTCCTAAGGTCACATACTAACATTGCCACTGAGAGAGAGAATTCACAGAACACCCAATATTCTAAACATCAGCCTACAGAAGAGCTCTGTGTATCTTGAAAGCTGGTCCCTCTCCTGCCACAGAGGACAGTCCAATAAAAGATATTACCTCATCCACCTTCTCTCTGCTATATCTGCTGGCAGACTTAGTCTCACTCTGATGGTGCAATGACTTGCACCTTGTGAATATTTCCATTGAAGTCAATGGGACTATTGCAGGGCATAAAGTAAAGCATGTGCATAATAAGTCTTTGTACCATCAAGCCTTAGCTGTTGAAGTTTTTTTTTTCTTATTTTTTTGGATATATATATATATATAGATATAGATATATAGATATATATATAATCTGAAGACTGAGGATTTCACCTCAGAGAATGACAAATATGTTTTACTTTGTTCATTGTAGCTTTTTTTAGCACTTAATTGAATGACTGAGTAATGGCCTCTAGGAGTTGCTTTCAATTTTTTTTCATTTTATTACCAGACTATTGTTTTGCTGTGTCAGGCTTTTCACTCCCCTCCATCCATTCCTCCTACCAATCTCTGGTTTTGCCTTTATGGTCAGGACTACACTAGACCCGGCAGCTCACCTTAAGGTAGACTACGTAGCTGGATTCAGCTTAACTTAAGCCAAGTTTGGCGGTGTCCCCACAAGCGGGAGGTCAATGGGAGCAAATACTCCCGTGGCTTCCTTTACTTGCCAAAGGAGGAGTACCAGACAGCTCCCTCTGAGTCTGATTTAGTGAGTCTTAAGTAGACTCACTAAATCAAACTCCAGAAGATGGATCGTAACAGCTGCAATCTTCTTTTTTCTCATAGGTCCTTGTCTTAATTAAAAACAAACAGCCAAATGGAGCCAGCGTTGATGCTGTTGTGCAGAAACCACCTTTACTGTGAGTACAGCCATTGTTGGCCAAATCCTCTTAGAACAAACACTCCCTTGAGACTGACTGTTGAGAGTCCTGCTCTAAACCTGATAAGTGTATTTGGAGATGGTGGTATTGGAAGGAAATGCAGGAATTAAACCAAATACAGGACACTGCCTTCTGTCTTTGCCATTTTTATGTATTTGTTTTTATGACAAACAAAATATTTGCAGGTATTTAAAAGTATGGAGGAGGCAGCTGTGTTCTGAAAAGTAAATGTAAAAATGGCACCAAAGGCCTCCACGTTTATCATATTTTACTATTCCATGTCAGATTTGCGCCCCCCCCTCCCCCCCCAAAAAAAAGGTTCTTCTAACTGCCAGCCTTGCAAATTCAACTTAGGATGTGAACATTCACTTTTTCCTATCCAAGTATTGTTTATCATAAAATTAGTTACTGTAATGCAATGGTTTTTTTTAGAAGGAATTCAGTAGTTTCCCCCATTAATATAGCAGTCTCCATCGCCCATGGTAGGGAATGTGTATTTCTTATAAATAATCATCTCAACCAGAAGCGTGAAATTGAAGTGGAACTCCATAGATCACATTCAGCAAAGCACTTGTGCATGTACTTAAGACCCATTGTGTTGCTGAATAGGGAAGGACTTAAGCATGTGTTTAAGTGCATTGCTGAAGCTGACCTTTGGGCCTAATTCTATACCTATTGAAATCAATAGAAAGACTCCTGCTTACTTTAATGTGAATTGGCTCAGTGCCTTACTTTGTGGTCTCTGAGAGCAAAAATTAGCCTAAAGAGTTCTGGAGGAAAAAAAAGAGTTAGATGATGGGTATTTCGATGTGAGGTCAGGTTTCAGCTGGTTTTTGAAAGATGGAAATCTTTTACTTTTCATACTCAAAATTGTACCATGAAGAAAATGTAAAATGTGGTGTTTTGTTAGCCTTTCCCAGGTGAGCCTTAATCCTTCTTGTTTTGGGATAGTTTTGATGGTTGATGTATGTGCTAGTGCTTGCCCATGTGAAACTTACATGTACCAAATGTGATTTGAAAATATTTATAGGAACATACAATCCCATTAAATATATTGTATCTGATACACAGACAAATTAATCAGCCTCCTATTTTAACTTTGACTGCACCAGAAGTGAGCTAACCTACTCATAAAGGACGTGCTTATATTAGATTGCAGGATGTGGGGGATAAACCAGAAATTTGAGGTGGGAAAAGCCTGTTAAGTCATTCAGCCTGTTTCCTTTGTAACACAGGGTTGAATGTCCAGTGTGCAGGATGAGATTTTAATCATTCACAAATGGGTGAAGTCAAAAGAAAAGCTTTTCATAACAACCTTAACTCTGCCCTCTTGGCCAAATGAAACAACAGTTTCCACAATCAGCTGTAACACAGCTAGCTTTGAATTGGAGCCTGTATTTGGCACAGGAATGCATATTTGGCTGCAGTTGTTGAGATGCCAAGAGAAATTTTAGGATGTTGAAATTCTTCCAAGAAGTCACTTTATGTCCTGGATGGTAATTGATATTTTTCAGTGTAGATGACATTGCCTTATTTTAGATGATCTCAGTATTGATTTGTGTGAGTGTGAGCTTTCAAAAATGTGATTTAGGTAAAGCTCAGCTATAAAGTAAAATATTTTTTCCTCAAATCATTGATTTAATACTGTTTGTTTTCTATACATCATGAATATCCTTCCTTCACTCTGTTTCCTACATTCTGCCAGGCTCCGCTGAGGAGTCAGTTTTTTGTAGACTTATGTCTGTGAGTAAAGTTACTCTGGGGCTTAAAGTTTGTAAGACTCACCCTTCCCTTTTATTCTCTGTACTTCACATTCAATTCATTTATGAAGCTGGCTGCGGGTTGATCTCCATTCCGTTATTACCCCTTTCTGAGCCGGGGGTTTTATCCCATTTTGATAAAGATCCCAAACTGGAAGACTCATGTTCTATATGCACCACATTTAAAAGAAAAATGGGAAGAACTTTTTTAAACTAATTCTATTGGACTCTTTATTTACAGCTCATTTATAAATTCTGCAGCCCTAGTTGCTGACTCCAGATATATAAAAGGCAGGTTTAGTCATCGGTTTAGACCATCCCTAAACTGATCTATAATCATTTTGCTAGGCATAAAAATGGCAGGATAAAGTATTATCCCTCTGTGTTTGTTCCCACGCTGTGAGGCACAGATCCCATTCCTCGTTCTGCAGGCTGGTGGAGTGCCAGCTCTTTAACCTGAGACCTGGTTCTGAGAAACAGGCACGTGTTTGCAGAAGCAACGCTCGCCAGAGCATGCCTGGAGCAAATGCCAGCTTGCTGGCAGGGCGGCCAATCCGTCACCACTGAGTCAGCAGCAATGTCCCCCCTGTCCTGTTCTTGGCAGCGATGAGAACCCAGCAGGTTAGGTAAGTTTCCCCAGGGAGAGGGGTAGGGCGGGGGATCTCCGAACCGGGGTGTGAACGCGGCGCTGCATGCTAATGGTAAATGACAGAGCTGCAGCTGGCTCTGGGGTGGGTGCCCACCACCCTCAGGAGTAAGATGCTGGTTAGAAAGGTGGCTTCCTGCCTCCCCCCGCAGCTGCCCGGTGAAGTCTGTCTACCTGCCTGGCCCGTCGCCATAGTCTGGATGTTGGATGTTGTAAAGCAATGGACTTCGAGCAGCGCCTCCGCGGTGTCCGGGCATGAAACGGACAAGTGCGCGCAGGCCGCCTGCCCACCGGTCTCTTTCCCAGCCAAGGCGGACCCCAGGGCGTATTGAAACTGACAACCAGGGAGCGCCCCTGGCTTCGGGGGCGCAGACAGCGCCGCTGCGGGCAAATCAATTCTAGCTCCCCCCCCCTTGCCTGGACAAAGTTGTTGGACCTGAGCCCTCGCTGCAGCCGGGTTGCGTTG